AATTTTAGGTATTTCTTCAACGAACTGTTTATAATCAAGTATTGAAATAAAATATTAAAGTTGTGAGATTTCTAAAACAATGATAATTGTTTTATTGCAAACATTGTTAACGGGATTGTCGTTGTTCTAGTCGAAATATTCAAAACAAATGGTTTTTATACAACAAAATATTTAACGTCACGCTACCCTCTAGCAAACTGTTAAAAACAAAATATAAAGAAATAAATATAATCAGAATCAACTAACACGTACTGTTGTCCTTGAAGTCTTACCGTTGCATTAAAATACTGAAATGTTGAACGCTTTATTCACTGATTAATAAAAAACTGCAGAGGTGTTGGAAGGCAACGATCTCGGGGGCGGGGCATTTACCCTCTTTCTTTTTCCCCACCCTGGGGCATTTAGACAGCTTGTGTGTCCCCACCCTGGGGAATTTGCCCATTTTTAAAAAAAAAAAATGCTAATGCCCGGGGGTTAGCCCCGGGGGGTGGGGATGGACACTGCTGGAATTGACTGACACATAAGAGTTGCTCGAGATGCAGTTGAGAGCAAGTCTAACTTCTGTTCAAACTTCCCGAGTGCTTCTTGTACACTAATGCATGAATCAATTGTTTAATAACATTACTGAGAGAAATGAAGAGGCGCACCATGAACATGCATCACTGGATTATGATGTACACTTAGTTATGCTGACCTTCATAGCGCAGCTTTTCTAGCTAGGTCATAACTTTGTTTTGGTACAGTATACTCTGCGGAAAGACGAGTCAATCACTGCCTCCTATGTTTTTAATGGCCTTGTAAATAAAACTTTTATTTATGATTGTTTGACAAAACAGCATATTGAAGAATATCCTGCTTTTTCAGTTCTAAAACAATGCAGAAAAGAAATTATGTGGCATTTTATGTGGTACTGAACATGTCTTGAGGTTATAACCACTTTAAAGCTATATTAGTAAGTCTGCTGCTTTATAGGTAAAAAGACTGAGTGAAAAATACTTTTCATAGTTTCACATTGTTGTTTGTTGATGACATTTGTGAAAATACAATACCCTAATGAGAGATGGATACCCGTCAAGCAGATCATCAAATGAACAAAACAAGCAGCTCCTAGAACTCACCTGCTGGTGAAGGTGTTCTACTGCGCATGCCTGAAGACTGTTTAGAAGGCGGTCTCCTTTCTTGAGAAATAGAACGTCGGGGAGCCCGGCCTCTCCTAGCAGCTGAACTACTACTTTGGGCTGGTGATGGTCTAGTTCTGAGAATTGAAAAAAGACTCAACTTGTTCAACATTCTTTCACACATTTTACATGGGTGATTTTTAGCAGTGTCTTTAGTCAAAATGGCCCTATGATTGTGTGGTAAATCACAGCAATCAGTACATGCAATGACATCACAAAATATCTTCACTTCTCCATGTCTATGGGACAGGTGAGATTGACAAAAAATTTATTTTAAAACATGCTTAACCTCAATGAAGCAAGTTGATTACCATAAGAAAAATCTAAGAAAGGTAGAACCCCCGGAGACACCTCCCATATATAAGCTATATGGGTCCAGGGGCCATGAGGGTATGTGCCACTGTGAAGGGTATGGTTTTAAGGCAGGTTAGTCTGGGACAGGGTATAGAAATTAGATAGTTTTTGTCTACAATACGGTACAATTTACCAAATAAGTAGCTAGTGTATAAAACGATTTAGTCCAGAACAGGGTTCTTTACTCAGGGTCCATAATAGAAACTGAAACTCAGAAGTGACTTTGTAAGATATTGGTTTAGTTAGTGTATGTTAGACTACAATAGTGATAAAGTTTTTGCATTGAAAATAGTCTGGGATAGGGTATGGGTATTTTGTTGATTATTTTCTTCAGATTAACACTAATACGGTGCAGATGAGTCTTGCCTATTTTTATTCAGCAGTATTTTTATTCAGTGGTCTCGGTTAACTTAAAACTGGACAGTTGATCAAGCAGCAACTATTTGGCACTTGTATATAAATGCAATCAAAATGTATGTATGAGTATTAAATAAAGTTGTTGTTGTTGTTGTCATTGTTGTATTAACTTTGTAAGATAGTTGTTTAGTTAGTATATGTTAGACTACAAAAGTATAAAGATTCTGCATTGAAATTAGTATGGGATACCATAGGGGTTATTGGTGCTTAGTCTAGAATAGCAGGGCTTAAAAAACAACTTGAATTCTAGCTTGCCCTTTGGACAAGCAGCTCTCAAATCTGCCAAATCTTGCTTGCCCTTATTTAAATAGCAGACACTTTGCCTGGTACTTTGCCCATTGGGGAAGTAAGACTGAAAAGTTACTTGTCCCGACCGGCAGGAAAATGTTCTTGTCGGGGACAACCAGACAGCACTTTTTCTGAGCCCTGAATAGGGTTGCAAAATCAAGGTGATCATGGTCTAGATTAGAGTAAGGGTTTCAATGTCCCAAGGGCACACCTCTACCCAAAGATTTAAAGAGTACCCCTCCTGGTAGAATTTCAATTTATAATATAGACTCTTCAGAGAAAAGAGAACACTCACCCTCGTTTTAATACTGCAAGTTCATTTGTTAAGCTTCTACATCTCGCTCTTAAATTACGCTCATTTGCACGGATTTCTTCTAGCTGCAATATAAATTATAGAATGATGATCATTAACAACCTGATAATTAGGGTGTGCTTATCTCCTGTTGTGGATATACCACCGACATGTGACCGATATGTCTCTATGAAATATTGACTGACACTCAGCCCATAGTTGGTTGATATATTGACCGACTATAGCCCGGTTGTCAACCGATTCTCGACTGACTATCGACTGACTGTTGACCGACTGTCCACCGAGTGTTGGCCAATAAATAGGTTGCCTATCAACAGACTCTCGACCGATATATCAACCAACATTTCGGACAAGACAGTAAACATGATCCACAAATTCTTTGCAAATTGTCTAACAGCAGTTTGTTACTTCCTTGTGTGGTGCTTGCTTGGATCAATAATTTGTGGAAACTCACTTCTTAACATCCAAGGTTTTCATTCGCTAAGTTAACAGAATTCTTTTGGTGGCCTTAGTTGGAGTATTCATACTGTGAAGAAGATATTGGCTTTTGAAGACTGCATCAATTCATGGTGGCAAGAGTGCTAATGAGTCCATACATTCTTTAAAAAGTTGAATTTTCAACCCTTCATCACACAAAATGTTGGGCTCAAATTCCTTGGGACAGTTTAACTCTGTACTTTCAATGTAAGAACCGACAGTTCAATCAGAAACTGAACAGCTTACACCAATGATGACAATATAAAGATTCCTTTAAAGAGCAGTGAAACGATGAAATGATCGTGAATCACTTTACACATATTAAGTTTTCAGATTAGTTTTAAGTGAAATGATAATGTGAACAACACCAATAAAAAAGCAAAGCTGATATAAACACCATAATTAAGATTTGTGTTTCTATGAACAAACCAACTTGGCATGTTAACAATGGATTAGAGCTCCTACAGACCTTAACAGACTTGAACAAAATGAATTAAAACAGAAGTAAAATTCTGGCCAAAAGTAGTTCTGATGTGTTCCATTGTGGAGGACTTGACTAAGAGGGACAGGTTGCTCTGTATAAAGTCAAGCTTACATATCATAAACTTGTGCATTTTGTTGTAACACTGTTGTATGTCAATCTTTAAGTGGATAAATAGAAAATACAAATACAACTGGTACTTGTTATGTCATAAATAAAGTTGTGGATTTCATGAGTGAAAGGGATACTGCTGCCATTATTTCACTGTCAACTCACCTCCTCAACTACATTCCTATGTTCTTCATTTTTTTTATTGATTGTTCTTTGATATTTGTTTTTCTCCTTCATTAGTTCACTCTAAATAATGAAAAGCAAGCGGATTATGGAGTTGAAAGTCAATTATTTTCCAGAGCAAATGGCCCAAACTGGAGACTACAAAAATTATATAATTATGTTATAATGTTATTACTGTTTTACTGGTACAGGCAGTAATTAGAATACTAGGCAAATGTTAGTAGCATTCAATGGAACACAGTCAAGTTCTTAAAAGTAATTGGGAAATCCGAAATGCGTAGTTTTTATTAACAATAATTATATCAATTTCTAAAACTATGCAGAAACAACAAATTAAAATATTTATTATTTCCTATAATATTACAAAAATAATTTGGAAAAGAAAACATAGATTAGAGTAATTACACCACAAAGAAACATAGAGTAACATGTTAGTGTGGGTTTCGATCACAAAGAATTAAGATACTTCTACCTGTAGGTCCTCTGGTCGAATAATGTAGTTTAGAAATCAGCCCCAAGAAAATATGTGTGCTGATTGGTTAAAAATTGTGTTCCTATAACTCCATAGAAACACAGAACTAGCATGAGCTGTTGATGTAATGATGGCACGAGTAAAGAGAATTTACATTTTGATGACCAAAGTAAAAAGTTGTTTCCCTTTTTTTTTGTCGCGGCATTTTCTAAAAGAAATAGGAAACATGTTCTCCGTGGTTCGATCGAGTCATAGAAACACTCGTGAAAGTTTGGGTGAACTTGAAAAAGCTGTGGAAACACTTGCCTACAGCTCGTGTTCCCACAGCATTTCTCGTTCTCCCAAACTTCCACTCGTGTTTCTATAACTCAATAGAAACGTGGTACATGTTTTCTATTTCTAAAGCAATAATGTATACCTAATCCTGCATGTTACCCAAGGGATATTGCATTTTTTAAACTTACCTCAAGATTCTGTACAACTTTTTTTAACACTCTGATTTCCTTGGCTGTGTTTGCTTTGGAAGTATGTTTCACTTCCCGTTGAAATGTCTCAAACTTCTTTTCTATTTCCATCTTTTCCTTGGCCAACTTGTCATGCCTAAATGACCAAACATTAGATAAGTAGACATTTTCCATCCAATTTTCATCATAACATCCAGAAATGTTACAGCCTTGGTATTAAAAGAAATTTACTTACTCCTTTTGAAGGTGAGTCAGTGCAGAGGTTCTTGAACCTTTCATGAGCTACAAAATACATGTGTTGGTTAAAAGTAAAGCCTTTGGCTGGGTGCTAACTAAAACAGCTGAGTGATCTTCCAATACTTACCTGTTCTTTAAGACGTTGGTTTTCTTCTCTTAGTTTTCTTATAGTCTCTTGTAGCTGCACTGGATCTGGTTTTCCCACATATGGCAAAGGAAGTGGGTAATGTATCCTGTAAGTATCATTTGTGACAGGATTAACTTAACTCTGCATCTCTGAGGGGAGGGTGGGAGCCGGGGGGAGGTACTCCCTTATAAGGGCTACATAGGTGTGTGCGGCCCTAAAGGATGTGGATTTTCAGGTGTTTTGGTCATAAATAGGGCATGGTTTTCACACTCTTGTCTTGAATTGGGTACGTTTTTTAAGAAGAAGCCACTTTTTCATCATTCCCAAAAAGAATATCAACAAAATCCCTTTACAAATTATGTTTACGGCAGTTTGACATTGGTCTGAACTAGGGAACTAATTACAAGGCAGGTCTAAAATGGGGTATCTCATTTTTGGTCTGGTCATGAATAAGGTAGGGAAAATTGCAGATTTTGGTCATAAATAGAGTAAGGGATTTGGGAAGAGGACGCACACCCCCAGCCAATTTTTCTGAGAGTACCCACCCTGGGGGTGGGAGGGAAGAGGAAAAGCAGTCAAAGCTCAATATGGCAAGGGGTGCCACACATCACATTCAAAACACTTGCATACATTGGTATGTTTGAATATTCAGTCTAATTGCCCTTTAGCTACATGTTCTGCTACACTCACAAGCCCAAGTGTGTTTCAACTTTATACAATTTCCCCTTTGTAGTGATACAAAAGTTATTGAAGGCCTTTTCCACTTAAAAAATTTAACTGATGCTGTTAGCCACCTTCTTACACCTAATAACACCAGTGCATATTCACACAGGCAAGCAGTTCTCAACTGATAAGATTCATAATGCCAATTTATAAAAGTTACCTATAGCTAACCTGTCAAATTCAACAGTATATGTCATAATAAGGTATCTCTTGGAATGAAGTTGTGATCTTGTTTTTGCACCAGGAATATGCTGTGTTCCAAAGCCAGTTCTGTGATGTTGTTGTTTACGCAATGATTCAAGGTCACCATACGTCAAAAGGTCCACAGATACTGAGTTACTACTCTGAGAAAAATTATAATCAACACAGTGAATTACTAGAAGAACAAGAGAAGGAGTCATCTATTTATTTCCACTACTAGATTAAATACCAATTGCTTTATTCAGTACCAGAGACTGTACGCTATTATAGAGAATGTAAGGATATGCTATTATTGTTCCAAAACAAACTTACATTTTATAGTTTTAACACAAGTCATACAGGGATACTTTCCACCATAAATCATATTAAAAAGTCTGATATTCAAGTGGTACAACTTATTTATCTAATTTTATTTATTTTATATAAATGTTTGACATATAATGTTAATCAATGCAATCAGTGACTAGAGGATTGTAGCCTAACACTTTGTTGACAGTTACACTTTGATCATCAGCAATAAGCATAAATGACCAATATCATTCAAATGACTGATCATTGATTACCAACTGATTACACATCAATGTCACTGATTTATTTACTCTGGTCTTTGATGACCAAAATGCAAGTTACTTTGGTTCACTTCAGGAGAAGAGAACAATAGCAAACATGCATCAAATTCATGCATTCAACCTTTACTAGCCTCATTCTGCAAGACCCAAGTTTAAACTGAACAGATTAAATGATTATGGTGGGGGTGTTACTAAAAATGCTGTTAATATCAGAATGGTGTTGAACTTAAAAAGTTTAGTCTTATTGTTTTGCTACTAGATTAACTTGTTTAACACCACTATGAACACGTACAAGATTAATTCAATAAGGTTATTTGAATAGAAATTTTATAAATCATTCAGTTATGAGTTAGACTATGAGTAGTCCCTCGTGCATGATGCAAAAGAAAACTGCGAACAAAAAAACCTGGGGGTGAGAAGCATGCGAAAGGTGAGACTACCGACTAAGATAGAGAGTTTGGTCTTTCATCGCTAAGTGAGTTTTTGGTGTAAATTTTCAATCTAATTACACGTACCCAATAGGATTCCTTATCTTGGCGTCCTCTTATTATCGCCTGTTGTCAATAAGCCCAGGAAATGTCTTGAGTGAAATCACTCTATTCTTCAACTAGCCAAGCAAAACCAAGCTGCGAGAAGTATATCTTTGTTTAGTGTTCGTAAAGTGAAACTGCCAAAGAAGTTTTGAAAAGAAGACGGCAAAGGAGGTATCTTGTAACAATTTTTTGCTGCATCTGTAAGTGTAAATTTTAATGTTGTTCCAGGCAGAGTTTTTACAAAGAATTATGTTATGTATTAGACAGAGAAGATCACCCAATTGCAGGACTTAACATGTTTGCCGATAACAGCAGAATGTTTCAAGCGAATGTCCCTTTTCACGTGAAAGTCCAGTTTAATCTTCCAAATGGACAGCAGGAAAGCCAAGCTCAGTCAATTCATATGCACTGAAATTATTGTTCTTCAATGATGAAGTTGAGCGATGAAATCACTAAAATGTCTGCATTCAGGTTTGAGGCAGAAAGCTTTGCAAAACAAAACACTTGATAGATTTAACTCTTTCCATGACCTCTTGGTAAAATCGCAAGAACATCACAGCCTGTGAGATGCAATTCCAATGCTTTGATTTGCTGCGGTTCCAAAGCTTTCTATTCTCACAAAGTGAGATAAAAATTCCTCCAAGACGTCACATGCATCTTGAATGTTGACAACACATTGTCAATTATACTCCTAACATAAGGCAAGGCAATCATATTTTTGCATTGTGAGAGCAATGCATAATTCAAACTCTCTGGCTTGGTCGGTAGTCCCTCCTTTTGCATGCTTTGCACCCTCAGGATTTCACACAGCCTTCTTTTCTGGTGGTTTATTTACAGTCTTGCTCAACGAACTAAGTGAAAGAGGAACTACTTGTAGTTCAGTTATGAGTGGTCAAAACACAGGGTTCTACTGTAGAAATAATACTTGCCTTTGAAAGTGCATTTTCAAGCATGTTGACAAACACCGTAAACTGCTTGAAATTCCCAGTTTTATGGGTCAAGTCTTCAATATCTGAAAATAAATATAACTAAGCTTACATAATCCTTAGGACTCAATCAAGGCAAGTAACTGATGCAACCATAAAATTAGACTGTCAACTAATATTCAGAAGTGAGCTGCCAAAGTCCCAGAAATTATAGCAGGGAATTAACCAATTATTGAAAACTTGAATTGGTAACCACACTGCAGACTGCAGACTGCAGACCGGGGGTAAAATGCAAACTGCAGACTACAGACTTTATAAGTAAATACTGTGTTATTTCCAGTATCGAGTGCCAACTGTAAACAGGGTTATTCAGGCTAATCGCAGTGAAAGTCTGCAGTCCAGTTAGCCTAAATATCACTCAGGTTAGCCTAAATAACGCTCAGGCTAGCCTGTTTAAATTTACGGTTGGCTCTCAGTGATTCAGCTAAAAAGTCTATAGTCTTCAGTCTGCATTTTACCCTCGGTCTGCATTTTACCCCCGGTCTGCAGTCTGCGTTTTACACTGGTAACATGTTAATTATGTTATTTAAGTTCGCATCAAAAGGAACAGTGATTAAAAACTCATGTCTTTTACTTCCAACTTACATCTGGCATCAAACTGTCCTCTCCATTGATCGGATGTAAGCCTGTCTTCGACTTCAAGGACAAATATTTCTTTGTCGCTGTCAATCATGAGGGTGACAACGTACTCTATCCCGCGAAATACATGCCTAGAACTCACAACGGACGGATCAATTCCTTCGGATCTCACGCTAGAATTCATATCGGTATGTATTCGCTTAGCTTAACTGTAGTACCAACTGTAATAACTGTCAGTTAATTAGTATACTGCTTTCACTTTCTCTAAAATAATTCAACAGTATAGCATTATTACGCTTCTCTTCTTCTCCAAGTTTGTATTTAGCGGGAGAACGATTTAACGGCCATTACGATCCCAGAAACCATTGCGGGCGGGATAAGAAGCAAGGGGTGGCTGCAAAGTAAAATGGCGGCCTGACTCAAGAAAAGAAACTGCACGTAGAATCTTGTACTAAGCTTGTATTTATTTCAGCCAACGATGCCAGCTCCAACAGGAGAACAAAGAAAAAAATGTCACGCAGCACGAGATAGTTACTTCGCTTGTTTGTCGTCGAATGGTAACGATGAGTCAGCGTGCACTAAAGAGAAGGATGAATTCAATTCTCTTTGTCCAGCAACCTGGGTAAGTAGAGCTGCTAATGGGTATTTATACTGACTCTATCGTAGAATCACATTGATGCATCTGTTTCATGTTGTGCACTCCTATGAACGAGACAAATGACGTTATTAAATGTTCAAAACTCAAGTAACATGGAATTTACATTGGAGCTCCCTGTCAGTGATAAGATTCCTTTTATTGGCATTGAAATTGTCAAGAGTGGGACTAGACTTGAAACTCAAGTATACAGGAAACCAACAAACCCTGGCTTACTCGTACAATTCCACAGCCACACTGATAAACCCTACAAAGACTCTTTATTAAAGACAATGTTACACTGCGCAGCAGAAGCGTTCAATTTAGAACGCGACAAATTGTGCTCTATTTTCTGTTGCTTAGACTATCCCAGGGTTCTCATAGATTCCATCATTAGTAATTTTCTTCCTAATGTATCCTGATGTATCAGAACATGCCAGGTTGTAGACAAGAAAACTGAAAGCAGTTGTAAGATCAGAATTAGTCTTCCTTTTAAGGACATTTGCGCTAATTGTTTCTGCGCATCCTTACTGCACACGCAAATTCACATGCCATGTCATGCATGAGAGTGCACGCTAAGTAATAAAATGAACAATGGTAGGGCAGATGGCCATTACCATAGCTTTGCCTGGATTTAACGATCTTGGACGTTTGGTGGCCCCTACTTTTCTTTCCAGAAACAGATTTCATTTACAATTTATCTCCACATTGTCCAAAAATAAACAAAAAATCAATGCGGGAAGTTAAAAAAAATTCAAGATTTCTGTCCAGGGGACATCAAATCCTACCATCTTGCGGTTACAAGGCACATGAAACTATGGTCACTAAATGCGAACTTGTTCTTTAAGGAACCTCACCAGTTGACTATTCACTTAATAGGGTCACTTAAACAATATTTGGCAGGAACATTTCACTTCAAAGATCTAATTGCAATATTTTGGGCTCACAGACACAGTGGCCCTATTCGCTAACGAAGCCCGATTTTTTCAGATTTAGGGTGTTCTCCCGCGCATGTTCTCTCCAAACAAAGTTGGTGAACCCCATTTTTTTTACATTTCTGACATAATTAACTCTTCATCTTACAGTGGTAAAGGTCTCCCGAGATGTCCGCATGATACCTTTCACCTGTTGATCAGCAGGGAATTTTGAAGGGGCGGTCTGCGTGGAAATACGTTTTGTCAGTAGAAGCGCCTAAAGAACCACAACCTATTTGGAATAAAAATGCTGGGTGGAAGAAATATCAAAGTTTATCCCCTGAGAATTTGGATCAAAGAAATCAGCGATGACAACAAGAAAGAATTTATTTGCTTTCATTTGTATAACAACATGCAGAGAAGTATCGTGTTGTTGGATATTGTAACATCACATGAAATACTGTTTCAATCTGTAGCGATCCTGATACCTCTAAACACATCAACGAAAGAAATCTTAGCCCACCGAAGAAAACTATTTTGGTTCCCACAGCAAGACTATTTTTGAACCCAGCAACAAAATTACTCTCAACCCAGGGACAGGAGTAATTCTGGCCAAGCTGAAAAATAATTCGGAGGGTTGCTAAAATATTTTGAATCCAGGAACCAAAACAATTCGAAGCCTAGCGGTTAGCGACAAAAATCAATTTGAATACTATGCCGCAACAAAACAATTCCCAACCATGCGAAAGAAGTTTATTTAAACCTCAACAGCACAGATAAAAAAAATCGGAGTGTAGCGATCAGCTTAGAAAATAACTCAACAAAACAACAGCTCGGAGCAAAGTGATCAGCGACAGAAATAATGTTGAATAACGGTACAGTGACAAATTGAAAATAGCTCGCAGTGAAGCGATCTGCGACAGAAATAACTTGGAATCTAGCAACAAAACAGCTTGAAGTGGGAAGACCAGTGACAGAAATAATTTTGAATACAACAGCAAATCCCTTGGAGCTGCTTGGAGAGTAGCGCTCAGCGAGAGGAATAATTTTGAATGCCAGCACAGCGACTAAACAACTAGAAAAATGGCAATCATGGAAATGTAGCAACAAAACTAGTTGTGAATACTGGTACAGCGACAAAACATCTCCTGTAGCTCAGAGGGAAGTGATCAGTGACAGAAACCCAGGCAGAAATAATTTTAAATTCACAGAGAAACAGAACCACTCAGAGTGCGGTAGCGATCAGCGACAGAAACAATTTTTCAATTCAACGACAAAATAACTCGTATACAAGCAACAAAAATGATTTTGAACCAGCAACTAAAGTACACTGAACTGAGCGAAAGAGATAACTTCTTCTGACTGCTTTTCCGACAGAGGAAACCATGCCACGTTTTCTTCACCTTCGGTTAATTTGCACTAATGTAAGCTTTCTCTCTTCAGCGTGAGGAGAAAATCTCATTGTCATTGCCAACATCAATGTCGAAGTCCATTGGCTTGTAAACTCCATTTAAAAAAGCCACAGTCCACAACAGCAGCCACGACCTTTATAATATGTTCTGCCGGAACGCTTTGTTGTTTTTGTGGACCACTCAGAACTGCATTTCTGCCCATGCATGTGGCATTTTATTCCCACAAGGAGTTATGAAAATGTATCTCCCACTTTGATTTATCCATCCAGAAATACCTCTCTCATGTACCCATAAAAGGTGGTTCTATCGACAAAGCGTATTTCCCCATGGACTGCTGTTTCTAAATTGCCTGATTACCCAAAGAATGGTACCATGCAGACGTAAAAGGAAATGCACTCCAGCTGTTTTCGGCAACCCTAAAATAACTTAAGTGGAATTGACATATCCCAAGGCCTGGACTGGGAGCTTCTCTCTCTGTCCCTCATTTTCTCTTGGCATAAGATTGGCCCCATATTACAACCTGTTTTTGCGAGCAGGAAATTAGAACAAGACCTTAAGCCTTGAGAAATTAAGCCATCTATTGTTAATCAGCAATGCGTTGTGTACCATTTATGATGTGATCTGTGCAAGGCAGATTATGTGGGCTATACAGCCCACCACCTTTTTTAACATGTTGCTGAACACAAATACTCAGCAACTGGGAAACATTTTCTTGAAGCTCACGGCAGTACTCACCTACTGAATGAGAGCCATTTTACTATTTTGTGGAAGTGTCAGAGCAAATTGGATTGTTTATTATTGGAAATGCTTTACATCAGACAGACAGACAGACAGCCTGACGGACTGACTGTGCCCCAGCATTTATTTAAAAATATCCCACTTTGTGAATAACTCAAAACTTATAATTGTTATCACACTTGATATTTCTAGGTGTCTTATTTTGCCAAGAAAAGAGTTTTTGATGATTACAAGAGGAAACTGAATGAAGAAGGATTCATTCCAGCAGATCAACTGCCATCAAAGAACAAGCAATGACGGCTATGTAAATGGAAAACAATGGAATCCACACTTATTGTGGTGGTTTTTCTACTTCATTTACAGCTCCATGAGCATTAATTTAACAACTTACTTGCAATATATCAAACAATACACAAGTTGATTTTGTGTGCCATAAATCATTACACCACTATAGCACCAGTGCTTTTTAGGATCTAAAATAGAACTGGTGGTTTTGTTCCCAATGAAAGAAACACGTTTTTCATCGATGATGTAAGCTCAGCCAAATACAAGTATCCAAATCACGCTTTTGTTGTTTCTTAATTAGGCTTTTTTCAGTGTGGCTGTATAAAATTTAGATAAGCACAAGGTACGAGAGTGTTGTCTTGAAATCTTCATTGAATGGTCTTTCAGGGACAATAATTATTTGAACCAAACCTTAACTCTCTATATCATGGTAATGTGCATTGAAAGGTCATTGTATATTTGTTAAAACAGTCTGAACGCAAAAACAGAATGTGAAACGTGTGGCTTACCTTATATTGTAATGTTACCCTCTTTCAATGGTTGGCTCGTCTGTTATTTTCCCTCCGACTTTGAACATCCCTACATCCCTGTCATGAGCAACGGCGTTCACGGTGTATTGACATTAGTATGTTTTACCGCTTGTATATGCCGTCTAACTAAGCCGAAGTTGGAACTCTAGTTTGAGTCAACATCAACCTCTTCCAGAGGAGGAGCAGCGAACAAAAAAATAGACGAAGTTTGGTTTTATTTGGAGGCGGGGACGTTCTTTTTCCTCCCTGCAACACTTAGACATTTCAGAAGCATTCAACTTCACTCCAAACCAACTAATTGAACTTCTCTTGCGGACTCACTCACTCCAATGGTCAGTAGGTCTAGTTTGGGAGAAGATTCATTCCCTCTAAAAGCGCCTTAACACTTCTTAACTATGCAATGAAAAGACTCGAGGAAAATTTACGTCTTCAAGGACGTCTTGATGAAATTAATTGGACAGCTATGTCAATTAATTTACCGTAACGTTGTCTTGTGCTTTTCGACGTTAGTTTCTGCGCAAAACGTCACAAGAATGGCTGATTTTGCTTGACACCTCCACTTCAAAATTGTTAGAAAGTTGACTAAAGTTAGATCGGAGAATCGAGTATTGAAGGCCTGGAGAAAGGAACAGGTCAAGACGCCCCCGGCATTTCCATCGATTAACTTTTTACAGAGAAACAAAACAAGTATTTTGAGGGACTACAGGATTACAACGATGGAAGTGGATTACAGTCCATCAAATCAAAATTGCTACTGTCGTAAAATATTGAATCTTTTAGGTATTTTTTTCTTTTAACTAAATAAATATTTGACCACTCACCCTATGGGCCTATTGAGGAACAATGAATGGAAAAGAACAATGAAACAATATAAATGAAGATAACACTTTTAAAAATCTAAACTGGTGGAAGGCAGACCAGTTGGCCCATAGGACTACAGAGAACAACACCAAACGATTTGAACCCGCATCTCCGGTGTTTCAACTGCTTGACATTTTAGCTGGCCGAATACGCAAGGCTTTTCAAGGTCACCTGACATCTAACCAGGACGACGACACTGTTTCATAATCAGATTAAACCAACCTTATTTCTTAGGGAAAGTGAAAAAGCTCGTCGTCGTGGTTCACATTCTCTAAGCCTTTCCTTTTGTCTCCCATACCCCGCTCGTCGTCCGCCTACTTTTTCGATCGTCCCAAGTGACCGAAAGCCAGGAACAGGCTATCATTCTCTACACCAGACTACGCAGACATTTGGCCAGTTCATCAGTGAAATGTAAAATGTACATAACTATTATTCTGGAGCTCGTTTTTTAAGGCCCCGTCCACACCACGCCAAGGAATTTAAAAACACAACAATTACCCGGGCAGGGCAATATCATGATCATCGTGACGTCATCGTTTTCGAAAACCTTCGTTTTCAAAATACTTTCCGTCAAAAAGGCAAAGCTGGCTTTTTTCAAATTCCTCCAGTTTTAAGAGCGTTTCCGGAATAAAGCTCCGTTTTCGTGACGGATTAGGCCCGAGGGGGGGGTACTCCCAGAAAAGTTGGGTGGGGGTGTGCGGTCCGCTTCCCAAAACCCTTACCCTATCTATGACCAAAATCTGCGATATTCCCTACCCTATTTATGACCTGACCAAATATTCGATACCCCATTTGTGACCAGACCGTTAAATCAAAACCCTGTTTCAGACCTGCGTTATAATAAGTTCCCTATTTCAGACCAATGTTGAATTACCGTAAACATAATTTGTGATGGGCTTTTGTTAATTTTCTTTTCGATAATGATGAAAAATTGGCTTCTTCTTAAAAACATACCCATATCAAGGCTACAGTGCAAAAACCATACCCTATTTATGACCAAAATGGCCAAAATAGGCTAAAATCGATACCCTATTTATGACCAAAACGGCTGAAAAACCATACCCTTTGAGTACCCCCACCCCCTCCGGGGGATTGGGCTCCGTCAACACATTTGAAAACGAAAAGCCGGCGTTTTCAAATTCCTCCGTTTGAAGAGCGTTTTCCATTAGTATGGACGGTAGGCCTAACCGTAGAAATAAAGCTGCGTTTCCATATTTCTCCGGTGTAGTGTTAGGCTTCGAGCAGGCTCTCATGCGTTGCGGCAGAAGCAAAGTCGCGATCGAAGCGAGGCGGTGAGAGGCTTGGTGAGGGGCCTGGCCTCGTTCGCCGACGCAATCTCGTTCCCAGAGTCTTCGTTCCCCTTGACCAGCGGTCGAAAAACGAGAGCTCTGGGAGCAACCATTTTGAAATAACCGAATTCTGCCCATCGGTTTCACTGCGCAGTCTGCATCTATGGCGCATGCCTGAAATGGTTGCTCCCAGAGCTCTCGTTTTCCGACCACTGGTCGAGGGGAACGAAGACTCTGGGAACGAGATTGTCGCCGACAGCTTTGTTCGTGCCACCAACAATGACATCCTCGTCCCCAAAGGCCGCGCTCCTTTTGGTCGGCACCAAGAATCGCGACCTCTGGGAAGGTCCAATTTTCTGAGCATGCACAGAGTAATCGTTTCGTATTCTCAACCAATCAGATTTGTCAGACATGACTCTGAGCATGCGCAGAGTAACGGGAAGTCTGTGAATTGCGGACTTACGGTGTCGGACCTTCCCAGAGGTCACGATTCTTGGTGCTGACCAAAAGGAGCACGGCCTCTAGGAACGAGAATGCTAACGATGAGAGCCTGCTCGCAGGGGACACTTTGCTTTTTGTAATGCGCATTAGTGACCCTTTGTATTTCCGAAACAATGTTTGGAAAAATCGCTTAAAACTATTTACAATTTGCTTTCCTTTCAACGATTCACTTAACATCATTTTGGTGTTCTAGTTGTGTACAAGCAAACTCTTTCTCGGTCATTTTACCAAAAATGCAGCAGTTTATCCCTTCGGTGGAAGATTCAGAAATATCACTGAATAATTCAAAATTTTCCCCCGGAAGACTAAATGTGCGACATTCACTGTTACGCGACTAGGAAACCTAAAAACTTTAAATTTTGAAGTTTTAAATGACAAATTAGTCACCTTGCGATTTTCCCCAAGCGTCAGTGACGTTAAATACACAATACTTATAGAAAAAATTGAGAAAAAAGAAAATTAAGTTTGAATTTTATTAACACAGATTATTCGCTCTCGATTCATATGAGGTGATTCGGCTATAACTATCACCTCATAGAAATCTCCAGCTCATAATCTTATTGTTAAATCGCAGACGAGCTAGATAACATTATGAAGCTGGCTGTGATTTATTTGGTTGCAAATATACGTAAGCATGAAACAGGGCAAGCTATTCTGTAATTAGGGAGACTCTACACTCTGAGAGGAAAATTCATCCAGAAATTGCCATTTATTAGAATACAATAGAGAGCAAACGAAACGGAGCAGTTGGATGGTGTCAGAGTAACTGAGTAATACGCTCAATATAAATACATGTCAACTGGGACAGAAATATAATATCATCAAGCTACAAGAAATGCAGCTTTAACTACAATAATAAAACCACTGGACAAAAACCTATTTCTTAACAGAACCCATTTATACTGAACTGAATTCAAATCAGTTTACTACCGAGTACGCTTCGTCATAAATAAGATCAAAATTTTCTCCTAATTGGAATCTGTTATGCCCTTTTAAAAAAAACATTTTATTTCCTGAAATAGAGTTCTAATAAAATTTTCTGATTGGATATTTACAGGCTAAAAACTTGAAGGAAGCAAGTCTACATTAAATAGATTTGATCTTAATTGCCGTATCTAACAACTTTTCTGTTCCCTTAGTGGTACGTTTGAATATCGCGAACGACTGGAGGAAGGTTTAAGAATGAACTCTTCGATTTTGAGTGTTTTTACAAGTGACTTGACTTGAAGTGAAGGCAGGCAGTCCATTAGGTCCGTCCTTCAAGTAAGGTTCGTAATGGACTGGAGTTGCTGAGAGCAGGCAGTTCTTGCACCGGAGTAAGTGAGCCCACAAATAAAGGGTTCCCATTGTTGCCTGAAGAATTAGATCTGCCAATCAAAAATAAACAGCAAGTCAAAGCAAAGCCCGACTGAAAAACTAGTCAGACAGAATCTTGACTATTCTTGGATCGCTGTTGTAGCATGCAAAATGCCATCGGCTACTTCAAGCTAACTATCAATCAATGCTACTGATATTTATTTGTTAAATATTATATGTTCCCTCTTATTATCCAACAAGATTCAGCCTACATTGATCAGCGTAACTGAACCGAGCATCGCTGAATTACATACCTCGTGCCGAGCACAACATCGCCTGACGCTGCGGATGTAACCAGCGGCCGTGACACAGCAGACGGTAGGGGGGTCGGTAAATTATTCCTTGCAGAGGTACCGATGGGCGTTGATGTTGCCATAGGCAATCCTCCAGGTGTCTGGCTAACGGCAGATTGTTGTGGTGTTATACCAGATAAAAGAGGATTATTCACTCGTCCACTCGTCTCGACGCTGGACCGAGGCACTTCAGACTCGCTCTCCAGGAAGCTTACGAACAACTCTGAAAAAGACTGGAAACAAGCAACAGTCTAGGGTAAGTGAGGCAACCTTTATTTCGTAACTGCTTACTGTGAGATGAAATAATAAATAAACTGCAGCAGTGCATTTGACAGCCTTTCATTCCTGACATGCTATCCAAATTGTTTCAAAGGAATTCCTAAAAGCGACAATTCTATTCAATACCTTTTGTTGTGAAGCTGTTACCCGTGTAGGAGTCTTAGGTGCACCGTGACCGAACGGAATAAGAGTGGAAATCCATGATCCGTTAGGAGCTGATGATCCAGTTCCAACCTGAAGAGGAGAAAAAAAGATCTGTTATACTTGAACCTTGCAAGCTATCAAGGAAACTAACAAGTTATCACTGTTATACAAGTACCTTGTCCAGTTCCTCGTGTGTGAAGCCCAGCAAGCCTCCTATTACTCGCACTACATCTGCTCGTTTGTTTTCCGGTGTATTAAAATATCCAATCAGCATGTTTTTCACAAGAGATCTTACAGAAGAGCAAATGAAACATGCAAAGCAAGTTAGTCAATCAACAACATATTACAAAATGTTTTCAAAGAAGTACAGGGCCTATCGAGGAAACCAGCTCTACTCACTTCTCAACTTTGCTGTCTGACAGACTGTTGAGGTTTTTGATTCGTTCTTGACTGACTCGTAACTCTTCCTCCAGCCGGGTTACTATCAACAAATAGACATAAAACGACAAGATTACAATAGGCCAGGCCTCGGGAAATTAAAACCACCAGCTACAGCATCTTATTCCTTGATCGAGTCTTATTGAGGACTGAGACAAACCTTCTTCCTTATGTTTGACAAGTTCCTCATCTTTATATTTCAGTTGGCTTTGCATGTCCACAACCTGTTGTGTTATACGTGCAGCCATCTCCAGCTGGCTCTAAGAAAATAAACACAGAATTCTTATGAGCTGCCGTACAGAGTCACCAGAGAAATTCATCAACTTCATCACACACCTTCAGTTGATTTTCTCTCGTCTGTAGTTCCTTAACATGCGCCCAGGCCTTCGCGATCTCTTTCTGTGCCTGTTCTTGAGTAGCTTTGAGCTGAGATTCGCGTTCTGAGTGAAACAACAAAAAACAATACGGTAACAAGAATGACAATGCTTTAGCATGCGATGTTGTAAAGGACAAACCATACCTCTTTGGAACTGCTCAAGAACAAGCTGTAGATTGCTGAGAGATGTCTGGTATTGATGCGCCTGCTCTTGGATGGAGGCTAGATCCATGACTGCACGATCACGTTGAGCTGCGATGGCCTGGAGTTGTTCTTGGAGATTGTCTATCTGTACAGAGGCTTGGCGACTAAGCATTCAAAATAACAACTTGTGTCAAGATCAAAATCTACATGCACGTAAAAAATACTTACACTCGGCCCTGTACTAACAAATGCTGGTCGAAATTAAATATTTCAAATCGCTTAGCGCAGTAAAGCACAACCAAAGCAAACGCGAATGACTTTAGGCACTCAACCGAAAATCGCTGTTTTTGCGTGACTCTTACCGCTTCCGATTGGTATCTAGTGTTATAACATTTCCTACTTTCCACAGGTTTGTGATATTAGTGGAGCCTTTATAATGCTGTCATATTGGTGACCTCTATAATACACACATCACCCTAATACGGACATGCTGTTCTGTCCCTTCACTGTCTGTTTTAGAGGTTCCACTGAGCCACATTTCAAAGCAATTGCCATAAAACAATAGAAAACAAAAACTGCAGGTAAATTAAATCGCAGAGCTGATAAATTATTATTATACTGTTACTTACTCTCTATCCAACATGGAGTGAGAACTTGACAACAGCTGTTCTTCCGCATGAGCTAATTTCATCCTCAGGTCCTTCTCTCGTTCCTCGGCCTCGAGGGCCTCGCGCGTGTAGCTCTCTTCAACCTGTAACATTTTTGTCGAGCAAGCTCAGTACATATAGCTCTAAACAAACACCTATGTACTGACAACTTTTCTTACTATTCAACACAATCATAGCCGTATATGGACAGGAAGTCACGTGAGAGATAACGGAAGATTGATAACAATTTAAATATTGTTAGGTGGCGCTTTGTAAGTCACGTCAGACCTCGATGCTTCAAATACTAGAAACTCCATGTAGTTAATTATTTGAAGACTCGTCCAACATTACTTGAAAAGCACCGTGCAACCACAATTGAAGAATAACGTAGGAGACTTCCTGCCTCGTCAGCCGAGTATCAAGTGACTTTCCCCACAATATTGCAAACGATAATAGTTAAATGTCTGAAGCAATTTCGGAACCAAGGTACAAAATTTTGCTACTGTGCTAACGTTTTAAAATGCAAAAACAATTATACCTATTTTAGGTCACATTTGCAGAAAAAAATTGCAAAAAAGGATTCTTCGCTGTCAATGTCGAAATACGTCGAAATACGAACAAAGGGATCATTTGACAATCTTTTCTGCAAGAACAATCGTGAAGAAGCTGCATATGGAGTCCCAATGTTTGGCAACATACTGCTCTGATTTCTTGCTGATTTTGTTGGTTATACGAAATGCATTGCAATACTACACTATCTCCATACAAGCACTATAAGCTCTTTTAAAAGTAAACTTAAGTCATTTTATTTTACTAGACTTTTAAATGTTTTTGATGGTGACAATTTTTGTTCTTTTAAATTAATTTGTCCTAAATGTCGCCGTGTTAATATTTTCTTTGTCTGTACTTGTTAACTTGATTAGTATATTTTAGATTGTATTTGTGTTATTTAGATTATTTGATTTGTAGTTTAGTCGGGTCAGGGAAGGGTTTTTTCGGGATATTTTTTAGGGGGTTGGGTGTGGGTGTATTAACCAAGTAGGGGACTTATGTCCTATTGTTAAGCACCTGTACTTGTACGAATCCTAAAATAAATAAATAAATAAATAAGCGGTTTTCGTGGAAGGCGTGGCGGCCTAATTGTTAATACGCTCAACTCCGGTTCGAGTGCCTCTCTCCACCCACGTAAATCAGTACCGACAAATGTAATGCCGGGGGAGGGGAGGAACATTGCAATGGACTTGCATCCCATTCAGGGGTAGGAGAAATACTCCTAGACGGTTCATGCAACGGAAACGGGAGATAAGCACCAGTCTGGTGCCGGGGAGGCTGGAACGCACACTTTATCTCAGGAGTTTTCAGTGATAATTAGTTATAGACCTAACCTTAGCTAAGCACATACTACTGATCACTAGCATACCTGCACCAGATGATTCCGGAGGCGATCTAACTCCTGAGCCATCTTGGTCTCTGCCACCTTCTGTCCACTGCTAGCGACAGACAACTCTTCCTGAAGCTGCTGAACTCGGTATTGAAGGTTCTCCTTTGTTCTCTGTAGCTGCTCTCTCTCCACCAACATGTCTTTGACGATCCTATCCTTCTCTTGTAATGCTGTCTTGTACTGATACACTTCCCTCTGTACCTTGCTGATGGTATCTCGCTCTTGTGTCAAAACACCCTTCAGTTCATGCAGCTCAGCTTGTAGCCTGCTTATCTCAGCCTGCCGTTGTGAGTTGGCACTGTTGACTTGTTCTCTGTCTCTTTGTGCTTGGTCTAGTTCACTTACAATTCGTTCCTTCTCCTGGATAACACGCTGTAGGTCCTGCTGACAGGCACGTTCTTTTTCACTGACTGCTCGACTAAGACTCACAATCTGATCTTGCAAATCTGCTACAATGGACTCCTTCTCGCGGACCAAATCTTCTTTTTCGTCACGTACCTGCCGCAACATCCGATGTAACTCTTCCTTGTCACGCAACACTTCCCCTAATTCTGAGCCATGAGTGCTCGAGGCTTTATTTAGTATTGTCACGTTTGAAAGTTGCTCCCGAAGCGATTGAATTTCATTGTCTCGTTCCCGAAGAGTGCTGTTTCTTTGGTTTCTAATTGTATGAAGCAATGCTTGAAAGTTCTTATCGATATCATCAACATTTTGTTGCTCTCTCGCATCAGAGCCTGTAAGTAACTGCACAAGTTGGAACATTTTGCTTTTCAACTCACCGGTTTCGATATATTTTTGTTCTAGAATATCGTCTCTTTCGCTTTTGACACTTTCAAGTTCCACCAATATGGAACTTTTTTCATTTCGGCTGTTCTCCAAAAGTTGTTCAAGTTCCTTGTCCTTCGACTCTAAGACACTTCTCAGTGAACTGATTTGGTCGTCTAACTCTTTCACTCTGTTATTACTCCGAATGAAATTTGATTTGTCCAGTGACAGTGAATTTAGTTCTGATTGTAGTTTGGAAAACTGTTTTGACAGCTCATCATTTTCCGCCAACAACTCATCGACCAAACTAGATTTCTCTTCTAACGTTTTCTTTAGAGAGTAACCTTCTTCTTGAAGTTGAGATATTTCTATTTCCTTGATTTCTTTCTCTCTAAATGCCGAGTCCCTTTCTCGAAGGAGCACATCCCTCTCCTCCCGGAGTCTTTTGACCTGCGGTTCAGCCCCTACTGGGGAGGGAGTGGAAGAATCTGAACCGCCCATTAGAGCAAGCGTTGCAATCTGTTTATCCTTTTCATGGATTAGTGTAGTTAATGTTTCGTGTTCAACCTGGAGCGCGCTTATTTGACGTCTTAGCTGATTATTATCTTCTTGTATTCGTAGAAGTTCAGCACTTTTGCCCCGATTGTATTCTTCAACAAGTTTCTGTAGTGAAGAGTTCTTCTCTCTCAGTTTACCCATCTCGTTTGCTTGAGACTCGTTCAAGGCCAGCAGCCGAGCATACTCAGTGTGCAGTAAATGTGAAGCTTGGTCTTTGCCATGCATCTTCTCTCTCATGGCTTCAAGTCTGTCCTCCATAGTAAGCAACTCCTCGTCCCGCAGACTCAAGTCACCTAACAGTTCATCCCTCTCTTCCCTTAGTTGCTTCAGCTTGTCTTCATACTCCTCCTGGGCACGATGAGTACTCTGATCTGTTTGACTAACAAGTTCTATCAATGAAGCGTCCTTCTGTTTAAGAGCAGCAATCTCCTGATCCTTCTCCTCTAACAGCCTTAACAATTGTGCCTGCCGATACAAAGCATCATCTGAGCTTTGAGCTCCAGCGTTTGAAGCATTCACAACTTGAGTGTGAATCAATTGTTCCTTCTCTTTTAAGGATTTTGACAACTTTGCAATGTCTAGCTTCAGTAAATCAATGTCGGCTCCTTTCTCTCTCAGATCAAGTTCCAGTTTAGTCAGCTGCAACTCTTTCATGCCCAGTTGCTTGTTAAGCTCGTCCTTTTCTGTTATGCTTTCAGACAATTTTTGTTCCAACTCTTTAAAGGCCAAAGCTTGACTCTGGACAGCATCAACAAGTTTGTTCTTTTCCTCATTCAGCACTTCAATCTCAGCAAATCTTTCTTTAAGCTCAGATGAAATGTGATGTAACTTTGAAGTGCTCTCTTGGTTCTCAAACGCAAGATTCTCCTTTTCTCGGGAGAGAATTGTGCTCTTTGCATCCAACTCTTGGTACCTGTCTTCACTACTTTCAATCAACTGATTTAACCGTTCAATTTCCTTTTGAAGGTTAGCCTTCTCTTCACCTTGTTTCTTCTGATTTTTGAGCTTCCCTTCGTATTCTTCAATCAAACTTTGTAAAACTTCTTTTTCCATCAACATACTATTGTTTTCAGCAGCAAGCGAGTCATTTACTTCTTCTTTGTGTTGTACCATTGTTACCAAGTTGTCCGTTTCTTCTCTCAACATTTTGAGATGTTTTTCCTTTTCAACTAACAGTGCTTCTAAACTCTCATTTTTTCCACTAAGTTCTTGGTGAGTTTGTTGATGTTGTCCCATCAGATCAAGCAATTCATTGTTTTTGTTCTTCAGTAAAGAACATTCTTGTCGGTTTTCTTCCAAAAGTTTCACTACGTCCTGTTGTTCCGTTTGAAGCAAGCTTATTTCATTATCCTTAGAACTGGTCAAATCCAGCAAATGATTGTTGAAGCTTTCTTCTAGTTCACATATTCTCTCGTCTCGTTCGTTGATCATGATCATCAGATCCCTTTTTTCGTCACTGATGCTTTTCACATCACCACTTTTGGTTTCAAGTTCACTTTGCAGATCAGTTACTTTGGAAGTTTTCTCTTCAATTTCTTGAATAAGCCTCTCAGTCTGTTCTCGCAAAAGAGAGTTCTCTTTTTCAAATTCTTCGAGCTTTGTTAAATAAAGTTCAAACCTTTCATCGGTCTGTGAACTTTCACTCATACTTAGACTTTTTTCAGTATCATTAGACTGAGGTGAGGAAGATTTGTTTAGTGACCACCTATTCAGATCTTTACGCAATGTTTGTATTCGTTCTTCATCAATCCCAGCATCCTTTGCTACATTGGGGCTACTTATATCAAGAGACACAAAATCGTCCTCAATTTGTTTCCACGCCTCGAGAAGATGCTTCTTTTCGGACAAGATTCTAACGTTTTCATCTCGTAATCTAGTAATTTCCTGTTCGCCAGAGCTGTTATCTTTGCCGAGGTCGGCCAATAGTACTTGCAAGTCCTTCACCTGGCGTCGGAGACTAAGCACCAGACCTTCAAGAGCCTCCTTTTCCCCTTCCCAGTCCCTTTGAGCCAATTCAAACTCCTCTACCTGTTGCTGGTAGTCCTGTAACTGCTGCTGCAGATCTGAAAGGGCCAATTCCTCACTCAAAGAGCCATCCTTATTTGGAAAGACACCTCCTTCTAGTGCCACCTCAGTCACCTGTCTTACCCCAGGCTCAAGTGAGGGGTCGGTCATTCCTCCCAGCTGATCATCTAGGTCGATAGACAGTTCACCCTCCTGTTGTGTACTCTCTGTAAAGCTAGCTACACTCTCCGCTGAACCAGACCGACTTGCTTGTCCCTCGTCACACTCGTTGTTTATGTTCCAGGTTTTTTTATTCTGCAATGAGTTAACAAGCTCCTGTAGGTCTTGGACCTTCTGTTCCAGTCCAACTATAGTGCTCTCCAGTACAGCCTTTTCTGCATGTAAAGCAGCCACAACATCACTGCCTTCCTCCTCATCAATGCCTGCCTGCCTTCCCATCTCTGTGACGCAATCTTTTGTTTCTTGTGCTACTTGTTCGTTGTCAGACTGTAAGTCCATCACAGCGCCCTCCAGTTCCTCTACCGTTACTCTTAGCTCAGCTGATCTGCCCATCATAGCCTCTTTTTCTTTCACCACATGTTCCAGTTTTGCCTGACCACGGTCTTCTAGTCTATGCTGGAGTTCTCTCAAGTCGTCACGCACTGTATTGGTACTTAGCTGTTAACAATAGAAAGAAAAAAAACTGATTTGCTGAAAACTAATGGAGTAAACTTTGAACAAAGCGCATCACAGTGACCTGGAATTAAAATTGCAATTTTCATTCAATCAATCACTATTATTCTAATTTTCGTTGACAAGTGAGTACAAATTTTCATACTTAATAGCTAGTTTGTATCAAACACAAGCAAACAACAGCAAAGGGAATGATGAAGTGTATTGATTTTCAAAATTTAGGTACCAACACTAAGAAGTTCTGCATATCTCACGTTGTCTTAACTTATTATAAACAATTTGTATTATCTATGATATGTGGAGGTGGATCATGTAATGAGAAACTGTTTCATGCAATTATTACGTTAATCATATCTATAACAAAACTTTCGATCGTGATTGGTTCTCCACGTGCCTATTTGTCACGTAACTGGCGTACGATTGTGTGGGTGTCCAATAACAGGTATCCGACTTGAACTTTTTGTAATTGGATACCGATGTCATTTGCACGTCAATTACGTATGCTTTTCAACTAATGAAAAGCGCTACAGACGTTTTCACTCCAAAGAAGTTCTCAAAAGACAATTTTTTTTTAAATTCTGAAATTGTTATAGATATGATTAATTGGTAATTGGACCTCCTGTCATACAATTCAGGGAGTAATCGTGATTGTAATTTCAAATCGGCCTCGATGACGCTTATCCGATTTTGAAATTACTTACTTAATTAATTGTATGACACGAGGTCCGATTACTATTACGTATTAGTTGTGAGTTGACTCACAACCTCTCTCTCCTATATTCTGTCAAATTTATAACAATGCAGAATGAAAAACATAATTAAAAGTTTAGCAGAAACACGTATGGCATATTAAGGAAGCTGTGCAGGAAAATATGAGTAACAGGATACCTCTGCATAAGCCAAGCATAAACTGAGATATTAAACCAAGTAAGCAAAAGCCCTACTGACTGGTAATGGTTATATTTTAAACCAATGGACACCGGGATCTTTAATTGAAAAGTTACAGCTGATGTACACATACATGTGTTACGTGCAAAAATGGCATGGAAAAGGAGTAAACAAGCATGTATATCTGTGTGGTGTAAATATAAAATAATGTAACTGAACAATGAGGGAATACATTTTTTCTTTAAAAAAAGTAACAATTGGAATCATGTTATCAATTGTGTGCTGGCATTATCATGTCTCCAAACTCACTGTAGATGCTATTAATACCACCTTTTAGGGATATGAGGAATGATACCTAGATTAAGCATATTTTAACATTGGTATATTACACACGATACCAAAATTGGCAATTTCACATGCTTGCCACTGAAAATGGTTTCCAGCTTGAGAGGGCAAAATACGAATAGCAGGTGATATCAATTGTGTTGCATGTTGTGGAGAACGCAGGTTGAAAGTGTTCTGATAGTTATTTGAAGATGGAAAGGAAGCTTTTATTTAAGAACTGCTCTACATCTTTTTCCCCACCAGAAAGAGTATAAATGAATCAGCTCATCTGAAATAATAAGTCACAATATGGAAATTTGCCTATAGTGATATAATGAAATTAAGTGTGAATGAAATTAAGCGCAAACAAGGTAGAAAGTTAGCATTAAAACAATAACGCGATATGGCTGACAGAAAAATGGTTAGTGGTGTCCATCATTTCTGGGTTAGTTTTCTTTTATAAAGCCCAGCTAAATTACAAGATCAAATAGAGCAGCAAGGTCCTCCACCCATCTCCCCCTGCACAGCAACCCGTCAAGAGATGCATTACATGTGGAGCCTGGAACATGGCCAAAAGCCTGGCGTTACTGTTGTGCAACTCATGTCTGACCTGCTGGTAAAGCTGAACCAGGCACAGGTGGCGCTCCCACAGAGCTGTCAAGGAAAGTAGTATGTCATATGTTACTTTCTTTAGCTGAATATAACTGTGAATTCATTGATACAGTCAGACCCTGGTAATTTAAACTTGGTTATTTTGAAGTCAAGACTATTTGCCTTTGATCTGCTCAAGTCTGTTTTGTAATTTACAATCAGCTAGTTTGAACCCAGTTGTTCACTATAATTTTACCTTCAATCTTAGCCCTTGGTCAATCAAAAATTACACTTAATTTGAACACCCACTGTTTCAAACAATTTTCATTTTCCCTCAAGAGTTTAACTGCATTCCCACAGCTGCCTTTGAGCAAGACTTGACTTGCAAATTAAGGAGTCACCTAACAATAACTCTCGCTCAGAATTCCTTGGAAGTTTTTGAAAATCTTTAGAACTGTTCAAAAATGACTACCAATGATATAATGACATTAAGGGAATTTTAGGAAGTCTACCAAAAGTGATCAGAATTGTTTTGAAGCAGAATTGTCTGTTCCAAAACCTTTTGCACCATGGAAGGGTACTAAAAAGCCATAATCTCACCATGTGCAAAGCAGTTAATTTACGTTTCTGTCAGCAACGATTCCATAGATAAGAGATTGTACAACCCAGGGGCTCACCAGGGGGGCTTAGTAGTCATAAAAAAATTATACTGCTCTTAAGAAGCTATAACTAAAATAAGACCATAGGTTTATATTGCACAAAAGATTAGATAGGCTAAAAAGCCCTTCAAGAGACTTGTAATTTGAAATTTTACTTTAATTACATGACTGTATTTACTGTACTGTAGTATTTCCATCTACTTGTGTACATGTCAACAACACATACCAGCCAGTGCACTCCTCAGTTTACCCATCTCCTGTTTAGTGTCTCCTTTGATGTACTTCACCTTCTTTAAGCTCTCCAGTTCAATCTTCTGTTCTTGTTGAAGACCTTGTGAAATGTGCAGCTCTTCCATTAACTCCATTGTTGAACAACTAAGCTGTTCAAGTTCAGATTTCACCTCCTCAGCAGAACGATGCAATCTCCTCTCCTCTGACTGGCTGCGGTCAAGTTGTTCCTTCAACTCTGCATTTTCTGTAGCAACATCATTTAAATCTTCTTGCAATTTTTTGATGTTCTCAGAGTCAGATCTTGAGACACTAAGTTCCTTGCTTTGATCTTGGAGCTGATTTTGAAGTTTTTCCACCAGTTTAATACTGTTATTTAGCTTACTTTCAGAAGCAGACATGGCTTGATCATGTAATTCAGTTGCATTTTGGAATTTGGTTTGCATATCATCTAAATTCTTTCTTGTTGTAATAATGGCTTGCTCCTTTTCCTGAAGTTCAACATTCAAAACATTGATAAGCTGCTCTTGACTTTTAACCTGATTCTTCAGTTCTACTGTGGACTTTTCTGCAAAGACCAGCTGTTTCTTCAGAGATGAAACTATCTTTGTACTCTCATCATATTGATTGTCTGAAGGACTGTCACCTTCAACATCTGAAAAAATGAAAAATAAAAAACAAAACATATCACAACTACTCCTTAAATACATTTAACCTAATATTATAACTGCCAACTTCAATGCATATTCTGCTATCTACATTGTGAATGAGTGACTTGCAACATGAAACATCAATCTTACTGGAAAAATCCAGTTGTTCAAAGTACTAATTGAAACCAAAAATTGACTTAACTTACATCTTGTATGATTCATTACATCTTTCTTAAAACCAACATAAGAACACACATAGGGCAAATGATAATTATGGTTGGCGAAATGGTGCAAAATTCACAAAGTTTATATTCATTCACATTTACTGTTGTTATTATTATTCATGAATATATTTATTCACATTCAACAACTAAATTTATATTCAAGAAATATATTAATTCACATTTAACGACGTATTTCGTATT